TTAAGAGTGGCATGTGAGAAAGAAGCTTAGAGAGAAGGAAGACAAAAGTAAACGGCTGTCCCGGATCGTTTCTGAGGTAAGAGCACGACTCTGAAATTAGGCTATAATCCGTGAGCCAGGTAGGAATAACAGCCACGCAACGTCTACACCAGCCGGCCATGGTGTCCTTACGCCACAACCGGGGTCATAGGATTTTACCGGAACTTCGAGACACGGATATGCCGGCCGCCCACGTGGAACCGGCAAAACAGACAGGAGCGCGGACATCCAGTGCTAGCCTACCCGTACAAAGCTTCAGTTAGTAGCCCATAAGCGTGTGCTGATTTCAACCGATTAGCACGTCGATGTAGACGGAATTTGAGAGAATCAATTGAAACTTCTATCACACGAAGCCACTCTCAACCAGGAGGGACCGAACGAGAGAGTCTATGCAATGACTCGGGAAACTAGACGCGTCTACTGTACATCCTTCAACCCAAGGGTATCCAATACATGAATCCTGTTGAGCTCTCTTTTGAAATGAGAGGAGTCTTTACAGAAGGAAAAAGAGGGGGGCAGGATTGAAAGCCAACGAGTAGTCCGCAAAATGAAGCTGTTATGTCTCAGCTGCCTGTGGAACTTTCCCATTTTGTGCCCAAACGCCAAAAGACATCCTCGACGACCACTGGAGGGACGGAAAGTCCAAAACTTCGAAGGACCAAGACGCGTCTCGCCTCTGAGGATCTTAAAAGCAAAGACTAAATCCGAAGAAACTCTTCTATAGAAAAGACTCTTCAAATTGAGCTCGTGAAGCCTTGTCTCATAGGAAGGAAGGGTTCTAGGGTAGGTTGCTTTGGGGAAAGCCTTATAATACAGTATTCTGGTAAACGCTCTCTGCACTCTCTCTAGTTTTTTGATATCTTTTACAAGCACGGGACTCCAGATGGGACTACAGTACTCTACTATAGGAAGGATATAAGACTTATATAGCCGTATCCACAGATTGACATCTGAGCAATGGATATTTCTGAAAAGAAGATAAAGCAAGCGCAGAGCTCTATTGCTAACATCATCAATATGTGCACTCCAGTCCAAGTTTTTGGTAAGCCTGACACCCAAGTCTTTTATTTCGTCACTCTGTTTAATGCGTGTCTTATCTGGAAAGCATATTTCTAGTGGAGAGGGTCCAAGGGAGAATGCTAATGTTTTGCTTGGGTTTATTGCTAGACCCCAAGTTTGGGCCCAGGAGAGCATCTTATAAACAGAGCCGTTCAGCGCTTGCAGTACCACTTCCCTATCTTCTGCGTTGTAGATTCCCGCAACCTTGATATCATCCGCGAAACCGGCAACCATGATTCTACTGTCCGTAATGAGGGATCCGAGCAGGTCATGGGTGTATATAAGGAAGAGTAGCGGGGACAAGATTCCCCCCTGTGGGACGCCAGACGGGCAATGTCTAGCAGTTGATAAGTGGTCACCCACGCGGACATTCATCCTCCAACCGGTTAAATACGATTTGAACCAATAAAACGCAGTGCCTCTGACTCCAATGCTCTCCAGCCTGGCTAATAACTTCGAATGATTAACTTTATCGAAGGCCTTGCTCAAGTCAAAATATACAATGTCGACATTTTTGCCTTGATTTAAGGCTTCAATCCAGGCATGCGAACACTCGAGTAACTGGGTACAAGTAGATGCTCCGGGAAGGAAGCCGTGCTGCTCAGCAGGGACGAGGCGCAGCTTAATGATCCACTTCAGGAGTTCGTCCTTGACTAATCTTTCAATAACTTTCAGGGGAGCCGGTAAGATACTAATCGGCCTGAAGTTAGAAATGAGAAGTGCATTCCCTGCTTTTGGTATAGGCGTAATAAACGAGTTTTTCCAAATTTCAGGGACTTGACCCAGCATCAGCGACATATTGAGGACATGGGTAAGAGGGGCTGCGAGGTACTCGGAGAACTGCTTGAAGAAGAACTGAGGCACCCCATCCGCTGTTGGCGACAGCGACGGCTTCAGTGAGCGGAGATATTTGAGCACTCGTTGATGGGATACAGTCGGTAATACGAAGTCGCTTGAAGAAAGACTTGGCAGAGTGGGCATACTCGTGGGTGAATCTTCATAAACGCTTGCAAAGTAATCTACAAATGCTTCCGCTTTCGCGCTGTCTGTGGTGTATTTATTCCCTCTCGAGTCTTCGAGGGCCCGGAGCACATTAGGGGGTTTTTTGACCCTACTTATATATTCATAGAGCCTTTTCATATGGTTACACGCTGCCATTTTCTTAACCTTATACGATAGGTAGCGTTTTATGTGAAATTCCAGCTCTTTTGATACCTTTTGGAAGAACGGGTTTTTGGTTGGCTCTGCTAGTTGATGGAAGAGCCTGTCACGTTGTTCGAAAAGGTTGAGGATATGTTTTGGGTATCTACTGGTAGAGTGCCTTTCGAACTGTTTGAGGGGTACATGACGGTTTATGATGTCATGAAGGATGGCAATAAAGCGGGAATAAACATCGTCAATATCGACATAAGAACTAAAGACGCTCCACCAGTCGATGCTAGAAAGTGCATGAGCGATTTTGCCTTTATCGGCATATTTGAAATCTCTTCTGAAAAACACCTCCTTACTGGCCATTGGGGCCGACAAATGGAAAGAAATAACCCTGTGATCAGAGGTAGACAACGGGGCATGAGGGGAGACATGAGAGATATTGTGCTGGTCCGATAGAATGATATCGAGGACGCTGTTTTCTCTAGTTGGAAAGGTCACAAATTGATTAAGAGATAAATTGTCAAAAGTAGTCAGAAACTGTTGAGCATCCGGGTGCACAGCTACATGGGATTTCCAATCAATGTTTAGATTAAGGTCACCAAGAACAGTTGAATTGAAAGTAGTCGTTGTTACTAAGTCTTGTATCGTTTGAATCAAATCATCATCTTGTGACTTGGTTGAACGAGGAGGGCGATATGTCAATATAAATCTGTGCTTAAGGGAGCAAGGTAAATAGACATCGAGACATAAAACATCTGAGCAAAGTGACCCGCAGTCAAGACAAACCATCTCCACTCCACCACCCACCCTGCCAGATCGATCTTGACGTATAATCGTATATGGGAGATCGTGACAAAGTTCAGTGTCAGCAATATTGTTATTAAGCCAGGTCTCGGTAACGAAAATGATTGCCGGTTTCAAGGATACTATCAGGCAGTGTAAATGATGGATCTTTTTTATAAGGCTTCTAGCATTGAGCAAGAGACAGTACAGAGAACGAATCTCAGAACAAGCTAGTTTTTTGAAAGAGACATTGTGAAGTTTCGGTTCCTTTTTAAAGAGGGGATGTCAGAAACTTTCACAATTTCTCCCTCTGTATACGACATAAACACGCTCACCCTTGAATTCTTTCATGTTCAACTCACGCGCATGGATCCGTAGGTCGCGATCCTTTTTACGTTCGTCTGTCGACATCGATTTGCGTATAAAAATACTCTTATAGGGTTCCATGGCCCGTAATCTGTGCGACTTAGAGAGAATTTCAAAAAGGAATCGACGGGCAGGAAAAACACACTTAACTAGACGTGGTTTACCCTCAATGACTCTACCCATCCTGTAGACTTCAACTGGACGGGTTTCTATGTCGAGGGCGTCGAGTATGCTGGATACGGCCGTCTCCGTATGAGCTTGACGCTGAGACGGAGAAAGACCACGTTCAGCCTCCGGGACACCGTACAGAACTACCGACCTATCTTTTTTGTCACTTTCCACAAGATTGCTAATGAACAGAGGCAACTTACCTAGGAATCGATCCAATAGCTCAACTACTTCTGGCGCTTTGATCGAAAGAATATCATTAATTTTTTTAAGAAGAGAGATACCATCGTTATCCAATATGGAGCTGGCCATTATTTGATTCATAGCAGAACAATCCGATACGGTCTGGCTAGATTTGTAGACGGCGGACGAGGAGTACATCAGAGATAATTGATTTCCGACCGCACTAGGGCGAAGCAGACGTCGAATGATCTCTCTCTTCTAAGTAATCTTTAAAGACAATTGTCTGTTACCGTGCACTCCAATCTTCAAAATCTCGTCCCCTCTTCCGCTTAGAAGCCTTTCAGTCCTCGACGTCCAGAACACTATGAGAATGGTAATCAAACTACCGTGAGAAATGAATGATTAGAAGTTTGATGAATTTCCTGTAACCCATGTCGCACACCGATGGGATGCGTTTCGATGCCAATTTTCAGGCATCTTCAGGCTGCAGAATGTTTGTCTCGACCTGTGGATCAGCTGGAATGGAACAACGTCAACACACTTCTTGGGGTTAGTTGATCTCCTCACATCTCCGCGAATTTTGCAGGTTATATAAATTTCTCTTGCAGTACTAGTAACTCGCTCACATCGTGCTTCCGTATCTTAATTATGAAACGCCGAAATCATACACAACATTAGGCAAAAATGCATGAGGAACGATCGGAGATCGCTTCTCGCCCTGCAAAGCGATCACCATGCCGACAAGAAAATCTCATGTACACAGAGTGCCGTTATAATGTAGTGTTCTCACAATCCTTCGACATCTGATCTACTTTCTCCTGTCGTTTTTTATTTTTTTTTTTTTTTTTTTTTTCTTTTTGTTTGATTTGCTCTGGGCTTTAATACCTCGTGCTTTACAATCATTAATCTCCGCAGAGCAGCGCCTTTTGAAAACCTAACCCAGTTTACCGCGCATCCTAACAATACTTCGACAGATTCCGCTCTGGGCGCTCCAGTCCTCGTCCCCTCGCACATCCTCGTGTGTCCAGGATTAATCTTAGCTATCGTCAGATCGATTTCTCTGGTTGGCGCACACGCAATGCTTGTAAGTCTGATGGCCCACCGCTGCGGGAGGAGGGAGATAGGTATTGTCTACATATGCCCTCGACGAGGAATCCTTATCACCGACGAAAATGCTGTCCTCCGTCGGCTAATGCTTGGAAGGTCTTCCTGCAGTTGATTCCATTCCCCACCCAACATATCAGCATATCGAGGCTTTCTGGTCTTTTGTGATCAACCAAGTCTCCTAGTCGACGGCCGTTCTGGAAAGCCGCCGTCGACTGAGAGGGCGAAAATGGAAGGGGGAGGTATCCACGAATCAACTACTAAATACAACTATCAGAAATGCTGCACCACTTCCTTAATTCGACAGCCACAAAAGCAATCAGTTTGCTGGTCTTGCAGTACTTTGATTTTTTTTCTTTCCCCTTGCACCCACTTAAATAATCAATTCGTTTTCCCTTCTTTTTGGGTTTAAAAAAATCGCAAAAAAAACTGAAGTGTCCATTGCCTTCAAAAGTTACACTTCTTCTTGCAGGAAATTCAACGGCTTGGAAATATAGTTCCGTTGAATTTACTTCACGAAACGGTTCGCCCAGTGCAGGTCTTGAATTTCGAGCTGCCGGAAAAAACAGGGATAGTTGCACAAATCAGTTATGTTTTGTACGATGAAGAGATGTCTTTTCCATCCTACGTTAAATCTGTCTTGGTCTCTCTGCTATAACCCTAACTTTCTGTGGGAGTTGAAACTTTGAGTCGATGATTCTATTCAAAACTGGGTCCCACAATCCACAAATCGAATTTACAGCCGAACTCTGTTAGCGAATTCTAAAAATACCGCGACTTTCGCGGGGAGTAGTGAGGCAAAAAAAAAAAAGTCCCGCCTGACAGGACGGTTTTTACATTTTACCTAGCCTGAATGCTTGTACTAATAGCCGGCCTGGGTGTATAAGGCTTGGTCAACCGAAGGCCTGAAATTACCTGGTTCGATGTAAGCCCCTGCCGCGATATCGCCTAGGGGATGGTTCAGAATTTACAGTTTCACCACTAGTCTGTTAGTTCATCATGAACTCAGCCTGAGAAACTCAGCACATGCAATATCCTTGCATCGCTTCCCCCCTTCCCCCTCTAATCCAGACAGCGACCGCGCATCCTGCGCCAATATGTCCACTTCATTTCTACAAAACGCGATGAAGTAAAGTAGTAAATGAATGATACAGTAAAATTCCAAAGACATATGCTGTAGTGGGTATGGGTACCGCCTGGCGTAGTGACAGCACGGTACATATTCATATAATCGTCCGTTCGCTTAGCGCGATGAGGAAGCTTGTCAGGTGGATGGCGCAGCGCCATAAACCACATATCGCTCCGCAGGCACATCGGAGACTTGTGTCATATCGCGTGTATCAGTTAGTTTCCCACCAGGTCTTTATCACTTACCCACTTCTTACAAGTGTTGGATAACGGCTGCGTGTGCAGACTCAGTTCCCCTGTGACAATGATTCGCCCCTCTGCTGCAACGACCACGACTGAATGTGAACCTTAGTCCATTTATCTTCCATCTGTTCTCCGATTAGCCTAACTCTAACTGGTAAACTAAAAAGCCCACCTAAAAATCGAAAGATCCAGAAAACTTCAATAAAAACCTGTACCCTAACTCCGGGGCCCGCGTTCCTGCCATATCAGTGAATGGTTGTTTCTGTCGCGCCAGAGCGTGCCTCCACCACTGGATCAAGCGCCTACGAAAAACAGGCTTAGCGTGCCTCTCTCCCTGGTCAATAGCGTACGAAAACAGGGCTGAATGGTAGTGATACTCGGGTCTGTCTTCATATTCTGCCCGCGCTGCCTCACGGCCATCCACGTAACTAACCGTTGCCAAACGCGCTGCTTGTCTGCGGCCTATTACATTTCATTGTTCTCTATCGCTGAACGCGTCTTCGCTGTGGGTTTTCAGTATAGACGTAACTGCGGCACCTCGAGGTTAGCTTGGGCGGAGTCGGGAAACGGCACCAGGTATCACTCCCTGCAGCCTCGTTCCCGTGCATTTCTGAAAGTTCTGAGCGGAAAAAAATGGCTCGCGACTGTAGCTCCTACTCACCTCGCACTCGCACGTGGCACTGTCCAAGATGACTTGACCGATTTATTGTTTGTCCTTGCAAGAGCAACTGGGCAGCCTGAGGTATTCAAGGTTCCCAATGGAAATGTTCCAGTGGGATGGATCACTCCCGACTACTTTTCCTATATACTCACACTCTAACCGAAGTTCTTTTTGAAGGTGTTTCCCGACTCACGTGCTTTCAACCCGTCAAGGTTCATTGATGAGAATGGTAAACTGAAGAAGGTAAGTGTGCCGCAGTTATACGGTTGATATCTCGCGATCAGTCGGGGCGGTTGCGAGAGGTTTTGTTCGTGAACTTATCACTAGCCGATCGCTATTGGTAGAAACCGCAGCCGGGGGGGGGGGGGCGGACTCATTCCACGCTTCTTCACCCGCCCCAATTGGTTGCGACGATATCAAATGTAGAGCCTTGTTCTGCTACGAAATCATCAGTTCAGGTAGACGAGTTCATACCATTTTCCATCGGGAAGCGTCAGTGCCTGGGAGAAGGTCTGGCAAAGATGGAGCTTTTCCTTTTCATCGCTAATCTTTTCAACAGATTTGAGGTGAGTTATGAAACTATCTTTTTGAATAAATGATTGGGGTGCAGTTCGGCGACGGGGGGGGGGGTTCCACTTCTGCTTCTTCCGATCGACATGTCGAGCTATCAAGTGGAGACTTGTGAAAACTTGTGAAGCCACGCAACTGTCAGCTCTTGGGAAGGGTACTTGTTAACTCTTGTAGAGCAACAAAGTAGTTGTTTTTCGACGAGCTTGTTCCAGCTTTACAAGTGTTCACGGGTTCCCCAGAGTGAACTTGCTAGCCGGAGCTAGTGAACCAGCGAAAGTGCAAAATTCCCCCCCCCCGGTCGCCAAAGTGGACATAATTGGTTTCATTAAATTGATTGATATAATTCACTAGATGGATTGATACAATTCACGAGATGGTATGTAGAAATAATAGGAGCACTTTTAGCTCTCCTGTGTGAATCCTGACAAGCCACCGTCAATGAAGAAGTCTTTCGGCACCACCATACAAACGCTACCGTACCACTGCCTCGCTCGGCCAAGATTTTAGTGATCTGGTGAAGATGATTAGACTGTAATGAAGTTAGATAAAAATTGAAAGGCTTGATGATTTCGAATAAAGCCTTTTAAATGGATTACCAGTGCACTCTGAGCATACAGGGCCCAATAAAAAGAGACCTCCCACCTAGAGAGGATACCTTCAAAAGGGTTTTGGAACGGAGCTACGGGTTATGCACGTGCTCTGAACGTACATCGAATATATGTCTCGATCCATGTCTCTTCAGAATCCATCAAACCGGTGTGACCAGAATACCACGTACATAGGGCACGTCGTGCCTTTGAGAAGAAGGGATTCTGACTGGTCTTACAAGGGAGGTCGTTCAGGGCGTGGTGAGCTTTTTCAAAATGGTCTTGTGCATATTGTAGGGGCACATACGAGGACCAGAAAACTGAGGTTCATTTTCGCTGCGCGCTTCTACGAATAAAAAAAATAGGTCGATGGTTCGGATCCCACCGAGGACAAAATTTTGCTTTTCTACAATTTTTCATTTTTTGGATCCATGTTTGTCTAAATAATTGGTCCTAACAAAAACATTCACGATAAACTGAACAATCCTACTTTTATGGAGCAAAACTGCTTTTTCGTACTACACTTCAAAATTTGGAAGCTGGAAGGGGGAAAAATGTGCTTAGGGCGCGTCCTGCTGTTGGGGAAGACTTTTGCAGGATATGACCCCCTTCAAAGGCTCCTGCTCTGATACGACTTCACTGCCCTCCACATCCCTCAGGCTTCCCGGATTCTCTCAGCTTCCTATCACTTTGTCGAAGATTTTCTGAGAACTTTTTTCACAAATGTGGCCGTCAAGAGAGGGGGAGGGTAGAGCGCACACGTGGCGAAAGAAGCCGAGAACAGTCAACAATCGAAAAGGTTTTCCTCGACTTCAAATGAGAACCTCCTCTCTCTCTCAGCAACGGAGCATTACCACCCCCCCCCTCCCCCCTCCCTTGCCCTCGCTCGGTCGCTCAGGACCCCAAGGTGCGAAATGCCCTGTAAGTGGTTTGTTTCGCTTCTGCCTTATGCGAACCACTGTTGGTTCGCCAATCACTCAGGTCTAAAGTGAGGTAGAGTTGGCGAAATAAAGACCGAGAAAAAAAAGGAGTGACCGAAATTTAGAGGTGGGTGGAGTGACACAGAGAGCCAGCTACAAAAACTACCTTTGTTCTTTTCACATGAAGAAACCGTAATTATTTTCTCCCACCAACCCCCCCCCCCCCGCCTAATTAATTGCTTCATTCGTTCGTGTACGTTCTTTCTAAATTTACCCATACTGTGATCACTGCTCACTGGAAAGGCGTTTTTCGAGACAGCAAAGCCTCTTAGACGCCTTGATTTCTATCGACGCAATGATAGCGCGACTACCACGATGCTCCGGCTTTTAAGCTGTGATGACAGACATTTTTGCGGATTACCCATACAGGTATTTTTCCACGTTAATTTCTTGTGTTCGGTTGGGGAGGGAGGGAGCATTTTCTTCGTCCCCCCCACTTCCTTTTACTAGTTCCTGTTGACATACACGTCTCACCTTGGTGAGACCTGTGAACTCTTGTCAAGTGTAAACGAAGCTAGTGCTATTCGAGCAGCTTAACAAGAGTTCACAGTCGTCATCCGGGCAGCTGACTGGCGGTTAAACGGTCACAGACGCGACTGTGGCGCGTCACCGGCGATCGGCTGTTTCCAGCCTATTTAGCCATTTTCTCGCTAATTTTCACTGTTTCTGACTGCTTTTCTTGAGGTTGGTTGTTCCTCGTCTTCACATAGAAATTATGATTAAGATTTCTCTAATTTTTGCGAACAATCAAATGATTAAACAAATAATTAAGCAAGTACTCGCAAAAACACTTTATTACAAAAACAAAAAAGAATCCACATCCCAACATACTTCATAAAGACAAAAAACAGTGCTAACGTAGTTGGGAGGGGCCACGCGGCTCGCGGCGAGTGATGACTCATCGGCTCTTCACTCATCGGCATACTTGAAACGCGAATCTAGCAGCCAAATCAGAATAAAACAAACAAGATTCACCGGGAACTTGCTGAAGAATTCCACAGAAGCTAAAAATTTGATTTTTTGTAGTCAACAATAACAGTCAACGACAAACATGCAACAAAATTTTGTAGTTTAGGCAAGAACCTTGCAGCCTAAAACTGTTTCTTTGCACTTTTCAGTGTTAACTGTTTTAACTTTTGAATATAGCTAGGGCGAAGTTATATTCATGTGCCTAAACACGAAATTACTTCTATTTTGCCAAGGAGGGAGCAGAAGAGTAGATGATTCATCGCTCGCCGCGAGCTGCGTGGCCTCGAACCTAAGTTAGCGCCAAACAATTCTTGAAAAAAAATGAATAATATAGTGAAAATTAGGGAGAAAATGGCTAAATAGGCTGGAAACAGCTGATCGCCGCGGTCGTGACGCGCCGCAGCCGCGTCTACGACCCTTTGACTGCCTAATCAACTGCCCGGATGACGACTGTACACGTCTCTAATGCGTTGGGAATGACTGGTGTGAGCCGGCAAAACGCCTCCTCCAAGCCAAACTGCGAAATTTTTCCTTAGTTTATGAAGAATGGATACGGTTTCAGTTGCCTTATAGTCGGGTTTTTGTCACTGTTTACTGGGATTCTCCTGCCCTTGTTCTGAAAAAAAACTTCAGACGGAAGCCAAATGCGACGAACGCTTTCAGCTGTTATGCCTTGTTTTGGCTGTCGTCGTTCCAGTCCTGGAAGTGTTTTGCTTCCTGTTCATGAAACCGATCTTATGTGAGTTCTTTTGCTTTTGCCTGTGTTATTTGAATGCAACTTAATCTTGCAAAATAAAGATTGGAAACTCCCCCTCCTTTTTCAAGAAAATTTCGATAGTTTCCTGCCGAACTGTTTGTTTTCTGCTCAGTTCCTTCAAGAAAAGCCCACACTTGCTTGATAAGAACACTCATAATCAGTGCCAGCTGATGCTACTGATTACTCATTCATGGTTTCATGGAAAGGGTTTATGATAAGGAATTTTGGCGCAGTCAGGCTTGGTGGGGCAACCTATGGTACGCAGCAAAGCCATTGCAGGCCACGTTGTTAAGACTTGTAAATCCTTGTAACCAGAGTGGCGCACGAAAA